GAGTTATTAATGTATAATAATAAAATAATTAATTTCATGACAAACATTTCGCTGTTCCTTGAACTATTCATAAAATGGCTTACCTACTAAGTATTAAAGTTTTACAAACAATTTCAGTTACCAGCACTTAAATATTACGAAAAATAATAAGTAATTTTTAAATAACTGTAAATAAAATTATTCCAATAGGTGCATTTATATATATGTATAAGTACTTTTGTTACCTACCACTAGTACACGATTTAGTTCAACTTAGCGAATAAAAATGACGCACTTTATATTTTTCACATTCTTTTGAAAGCGTTTATTATAGGTAGACTAATATAATTATTGTTTAAGTATAGTTTCTTTTAAACACCTGCCCATCGTTATTAATACACAAGAGGGCAAATATGTTCCTAATACGTATTTATATTTATTAAGAAAGCAGTGGCAACTTAGATATATTTTATAAACTTTCATAAAACAAATACGCAGAAATTCAATAAGAAAACAGCAAAGTCTTATAGGTAATAATTAATTTGTTAATGAATTGTTAAACGTATAGGAAAAATTAAGAGATTGTATTTAATGCAGAGGAATATGGTCTCTCGACGCTTGCGCATAATGTTTGTTATTAAACAACAAATTTGATTCTTATATTTTGTAAGAATTTTGTAAAAATGCAACATTTTCCTCCACAATCTGTTTAATTAGTTTAAGATGATTCAGGAATTTTTCCGGAAAATGAAGCAGATGCTTATATTTGGGTAAGAATCACAACTGTTTAAAAGAAAACGTTTTAACTACTAGAAATTTAAAACCCCACCAAATTATGTATCAATATTATATACAATACGAAATCAGTGGCTTACTAAATATTTCTTCAACATTATTAATTAAATTTCCGTCGAAATTAATGACTACCCTTGTACTGATCTAGATTTTCGTAGGGCAAAAAAGGTAACGAGATGACTTGGCTAGCCACTGACGTAAATAGTTAATATTTTGAGACTGAGATTGTTATAATTATAACATATTTAATAATATAACAACAGAGAAAGATTAAAGTGGCATTTTGAAAAGTTTAGGAGTTAAAATTATGTAGGCATTTAAATGGATTGGAAAGAACAATACAATTCTAAAGATATAAAAACAATAAGTTGAAAAGCTTTAGCCAAGCTCTGTTGTTTTATCCAGACATTTTTGTAGGATATTTCATGCTTTAAGAAAATGACCTTGTTCAGCTTTCTCGTATCTAACTTAATTTTCCGATTGGAAACGGTGTTTAAGGGTTCGAATTGACCCATACAAGCTTTCTACTGTTTGCAGATTGACTGTTTGTTTTAAGAATAAGTACAATTATTATTTTAAGAGACATACAGCTTTCAAAGTGTAACGTGTTTCCGTTATATTACGGAATATTAACTTGCCATAAGTACTACCGGAAAAACGTAGTTCTATTTAATTCCGGCAGATTCTCTCCATTATTTGTTTACTTTTCTTGATCTTCACTGCAAAATTATCTTTCTCTCATATCGCTTCTCCTATTTTATCTTAATGTAATATCAGAGCAAATTTAACAATTGTGTACTTTTGATTTAAATTATTGAATATCGAAATGTTTTCCTCAGTTTACATTCCCTTGACGATAATTTCTAGTAGGTATTAGAAAAGGTACGTACGTACTCATAAGTACTGTTGTTACATTCCATTATATTCCGTCGATTTAGTTTAATATAACAGTAGATAGATGTTGAATTTTGAAGTGAAATTTTACTTTTGGCGGGAAGATTTTGCAGATTTGCAATTTCTTAAGTATTCAATAAGAATGCTTACAAAAGTAACCCGAGAAGCAATTGCATTACATATTATGTAGATGGAATAGCAACCTATTACTTTAAGAAATTGTTATTTCTATGTTGAAGACGTTTGATTATTTTAAATAAATAAAGGAAATGTAAAACAAAAACTGCATTTCTTGTTCGTTAAGTTAAATTTTCAGAGGCATAAATGGGAATCAAATATTTATGTGAATTAGCTCTCCAGGAAGTCTAGAGGATCGTTCAAGCCATCGAGTAAAGATTTTGATTTCTTCTTCTAAGGCGATCGTACCAGGTATTTATTTGTTTAACTGTATAACAAAATTAAGTCTAGGAAACCATCCTTTTTGTTATATTTTTTATAAGTAGGTATTTTGCAAAAGATTACAAAAATTATTAATGTAATACCATTATTTTTTTATCAATTATGAATTGCTGCAAGAACTTGGGGAACTTGACTAGTTGGATTTGAGTTTTTGTGAAATTCAAAAATACATTTGTACTTTATAGTTTATTTTATAAGAACGTTCTGAATGAATTAATTGGTTGGCACTGGTTTAAAATTGACTAAACTTGATGTACATTGTGATTCCTTACCTTTTAAACGAAACATCTCAAAGGTATCATTCAAAATTCATTGTCTAATGTCCGATAATGATTTCTGCGAATTACAATGCATATTTGAATTATTTGGTATAAAGAACAGCGAAACTAATTATTAAATACGTTCGTGTTGTAGAAAAACATGTACAAAATGTTAGATGCCATGTTCTGCAAAGTAGTTTAAGGCATTTTCATTTTGGTCGACTGTAAAGCTAATTTTGCAATAGAAAAAAATTAACAATAAATTTACTAAGTTGTTTTCCTTACATAAGGTTTTCACTATCACCATATGTAGCATATGCTACTTGTTGTGTAATATAAATAGTACTTAACTATAACAGCAAGGTTTTGTTAATAAATAATTTTTCTTATGAGTATACTCAATTCTGCAATTATGAATCTCAACAGGTACCAAATACATAGGAAATTAGGAATTTTAGTAATGATATGTTAGCGTGCCTTACTCTAGTATTAGGTACCTAACTGTGTTGATATTATGCAGAGAATTTCGTTCGCAACTTCTTATCTGGACAACAAATAATTTATTGCGTTATGACAAGACATCTTATTTTTAAGACAAACTGAGATACATTTTGCGAGAGAACGTAGTTTTGTATTACAGATGGTTTGGTTTAAAAGGCCAGGTCAAAGTACTGAAGAAAAAAATCATCAATGATGTAATGTTGCCAAAAGATAATGATTGAAGCGANTGAAATATGAATATTCAATAATTCAAGAAGTTTGTTTTATATTCGATAAATTGTTCTTGCATTTTATCTTAACATATTTTATTGCCTTAGTAATTGATCAAAGTCCAAAACGGTTTAACGGTTCTACTTCCTAAAATATGTTCGTAAATAAGGGGTGCGAGAGGTATTGCTTAACGTGACGAAATGTGACAAGGAGTGGGGTCTAGTTTAGTTATTTATTTTATTTCATTAGTTATTAATCGCTACGAATCGTTTAGAAGGGTAATCCAGTTTTGGTGACGTAATATTCGGTAAGGGGTTGTAGAAAACTTGACGCAGCTTGACAAATGGTTGGGGGGCAAGGGGAAGTATCCAAAAAGGTGAAATTTTGCGTGACATTTTATGTAGGTGATATAAAATGAAGCAATAAACAAATTAATAATCTACGAAAGAACAATGCATTAACTTTCTTGTAAGTCATCATCAAAATATCCTTATCTTATCTTTTTTGCCTCATGCTCAATAGTAAATGTAGAATTTGCTCTAAAATATCCATTAGTAGGTCAAATACGAACATTGCAGATCACACAATCATAATGTGGACTCGTGTTTTCAATAAATATNTTCTCTTTTTATATCAAAACGAGTAAAATGTCTTGTTCTCTCGGTCGACTGGTAAAGAGTTGAGCAAGTATTCGAAAAATGGAAGATAGAAAATTGCCCTCGAACAAAAGCTAAAACTATTCTTAACAGCAAAAAGAGCTTTATTTGATTAAAAAATGAAAAATCGGCTACAACCACCTCGATAATGGTATGGCATTCAAACAATGATACAGCTTTCAACCTTGGTTCGTTAATTTCCGAAATTCCGAAAAATATCACAAAATAGCCAAAACAATTTATTCTCTTCAAACTTTAAAATGTTTCGATTCATACAAGAACTTCAGCAACTTGTAAATATACGCATATTTTTTGTTTCCATGTTTTCAAATCCTTTATACGTACATTATACTTTATCCAAGAAATTATTATCAGAAACATTTTATTGCTTGATATGTTTCAGTTTGCTTTTGCTGTATCTTATCGGGGATGTCGGGAGGATGGACATCCCCCACAATTCCCAAATTAATTTCCAACACTTCGTACATTCCCATGACATTTGAAGAAGCGTCGTGGTTTACCGTATTACATCCATTGGGTAGTTTAGTAAGTCCGATCTTTTTAATGATGGCCAATCGAATCGGCAGGAAACTGGCGTTACTTTTTATACCAATACCCCAGTTCTTGTCGTGGTTGATAATAGCATTCTCTACAACTTCTGTCCATCTGTATATTTCAAGAATAGTTGCTGGAGTAAGCGACGCATCGTTATTTACATTTTTACCCATTTATCTTTCGGAAATAACTGAGCCAAAAGTACGTGGCAGATGGTCCTGTTCTCTTATGGTCCTTTTGTACTTCGGGCAAGTGGTTATCAACGCCACAGGATCCTATTTAGGTATCAGGACAACCGCATGGGTGGCGGCTGCTCTCTCGCTCGTCGGATTTTTGATTATTCTTCTCGTGCCAGAATCCCCGTACTTCCTGCTGATGAGAGGACGCAAGGAAGAAGCAGAGAAATCATTAAAATTTTTACGATGGAGAAACGACGTAGGAAAAGAAATTACTCAAATCAGCTCAGACGTTCAAAGGCAACTGACGGAACGCGGACGATTGCGAGACCTTTTCATAATCAAGAGCAACTTGCGTGCTTTATTAATTTGCATGAAAATCAGACTGAGTCAACAAATGAGCGGCATGGTGGCATTTATATTTTATTCTCAGACAATTTTCAAAGAAGCCGGAGGTGATATTCACCAAAGCATTTCCAGTATCATTTTTATGTCACTTATGACAATTATGAGCTGTTTGGGGGCTTCTTTTATAGATAAATTCGGAAGAAAGCCGTTATTCATCGGATCGACACTCGAATGTGGGACTTCATTGTTGATACTCTCTGTTTATTTCTACGTAAAAGAGTATACAAGTATTAATGTGGATTCGTTCAATTGGATACCTTTAATTGGCATGCTTTTGTTCGTGTTGGGGTCTGGTTTTGGACTAAATATTGTTCCTACCGTTTTACTAGGTGAAATGTTTCCTGTTAGTGTCAAGGAAAAAGCCCTATGCATCCTGACCTGTTTCTTTGGTTTATGCGTAATGTTAGTCGCGAAACTGTTCCAGATACTTTTACAAACTACTGGACTATTCGGTACATTTCTACTGTTTTGTATTTGCTGTTATGTAAGTGCTATAACAAATTATTTCGTTCTGATTGAAACAAAAGGAAAAACACTGGAAGATATACAACAAGAACTGAAAGGTAAACAACAGTAATAGTAAAGTACAACAAGGAAAATCCTTTCGTCCGGGGGGATATCCAAAATAGTTATATTCCAGGGTCATACCTACGCTGAGCCTGTCCTGGAAAATTTCAAGCCTGCCCCTTACGCTAGTTAAGGATTTCGACATTTCTATACGTAATTTCTGTATTCTACATCCTCTATCGACAAGGATCAATCGTTTCCAACGACTATCAACGAATTGCTAATCCTTTTTGTATGCATAATTAGGTACTGAATTAATAAAAGGACTCAATTCTGTTATCATTTGAAAATTAGATGATTTGTTTTTTAATTTATTATAATTCCATTTAAGTGTTTCCTCAAAGATCAGATAAATATCNCAATCAAATTTTACAAAATGATGTTTTTAAAAATATTTCCAAGTATGTAATTATTTCATAGTAATATTTGATGGTTTGAATAGTATTCAGTTTCACATAAAAGAGTTACTTTCGTGTGAAGAAATGTTTTCTGACTTTCTTTGTAGTTTTTATTAGAGTTGTAATATTTGCTGTATGTTGGGTTGCCTATATACTATACAACTAATTTTAGTTTAATTTATTGTAAAAAGAAAGATATAAATTAGCATCCCTAACTACGTCTACACGAAAAACATCATTTAAAGATGAATATTCATCAGTTTACTTCAATGAAACCGCAATTATAGCTCAATTGTAGCATTTGTTTTAAATTGTCCCGGCGCCTCCACCAAAATTTTAAATAAATTTTTATATTAATTGCTAATAGCGTTTGTGTATTTTCATGAACGTCGTATTTTGGCCATTAATCAATAAAACTTGACTAATTAACTGTAATTACTAATTCAATACTTTATCAACAGCTCCAAATAAAAATGTGTAAAGGTTTTCAACCAAAGTTTACAAAATCATATCTTTAAAAATATTTCCAAGTATGTAATTATTTATAAATAATATTTGATGGTTTGGATAGTATTCAGTATCACGTAAAAGAGTTACTTTCGTGTGAAGAAATATTTTCTAACTCTCTTTTGGTTATTATTAACGTTTTAATTATTTGCTGTATGAAGGGTTGTCTATATAGTATACAACAAATTTTNGACAGAAAAGTATAAAAGGACCTTTGCTGTTTATAAGTGCCCATGGAATACTTAAAGAGGAACCATCATGTAGCAAATATGGTAAGTGATTTTTGTAAGCAGTATTCCTACCCTCAGATAAGGGAAAAACAAAAGAATTTAAATTAAAAAAACTATATGAATTTTTAATTTTTCTTTCGGTAATTTTAATATCTCAAAAATAACTACATGAGTTACATCTTACCAAATAGAGACAGGGGCACTTAAAAATAATTATCTACTATACAATAATCAATTTATTAAGTATTACTTTAAGATACAATTCTTTTAATTAGTATATTTATTATATTGACATTCTCAAGAATTAAAAATTACATGGATATTAATACCAATACGTTTTTGGAGGAATGCGATCTTCTTTAATTCCCATTTTATCCATAATATCCATCTCAAACGTTTTAAGGGCTGGTTCAAAAGTTATTTCACCTACTTCTTTTTCCGTTGTATCTTTAGGTTGTTCCTTGTATGTTGACTTGGTTTTATAATCGATTGTGTCAGAGTTTGTTGCAGGAATAGGAATAATACGACCTGTTCTTGTTGAAACCCTTACGTGCTCTCCTTCTTCTGTATATCGCCATTCTATTGATGTGGCTTTCAAATCAGATGGATCCACCAATGCAACCTGTGTTGTTACCAAAAGTGGTGCTTCTGATTTAATACAAACACCACTGAATTCTTTGTCTGCTCCTATTCGACGAAAATGACAATTAAGACCCTCCACAACCACCCAATTTCTTTCTTGAATAATTTGTTTCACAATTCCCTGCTTCCCCTTGTCTTTTCCCTCTAAAACTTCCACTCTATCGCCTCGAAAGAAGCACCAATTTAATATAGGCTCTACAAAAACCTTTTTGCGTAGAACACCTGGTGCATTTTGTTGTCGAAATTGTGCTGTCCATGGTCGGTTCATTGTAAATCTAAACTTTTTTCGTTCAATTACTGCATCGGTCCTGTACTGAATACCTTTAGGGTTTTTCCAGTAAATTTGCTGCATCGCTCGTTTAATATATCTATCAGGCAAATTCGAATACTGTTTGGACCATTTCTGCACCTTCATCAAAAAACCAGTCAACTTCATTGTAAACTAAAAGTAATGAATTTTATTATTCAGAGTAACAAAACGATAGTAACTATTCCTTACATACGTAAAGCTACTTTGTTCATAAAGATTTTACAAATATTTTTCAAATATTGCCTGGATATTTTATCTCGTTTCTAAATGGTTATGTTAATATTAATAGACGTCAATAAGAGCAGGAAACTTAGGTTATGTTTACGAGCTTATCTAATGTATAAGGAGATATGCAACGAGCAATGTGAAATCGGACGTTTTGCGATTTATTACAGTCAGTATATTATCTGTGGTCAGTATTTGCGTGTTTATCATTTGTTCAGCATACTTGTGGTTATTACTGATTAACGATTGCAATAAAAAAAACACGTGATAGTGAACGACAGAAAGGTGATATTGTTACACAAAGGACATGACAACTAATTGGTCGCTCCTTGGGAATACGAAGATGTTCAAAAAAAAAATAAGGTAGGAAATATCTAGGTCTTAGAATAAAAAAATTAAACAGTCATTTATGGTGGATATTTCCTCACATTCTCTGTTTTTCTTAATAGTAAATGGCTGCTAAGTTGGTTGAAAATTTACGTGCGCATTTTTATCTACGAATTTTTAGGTGTTTTTCGTCAATTAATAATTAATAGGTACCCCTTTTATTTCAAATCGCTCTCAAAAACTATCATCACCACCAAATTCTGCATATATTTTTACATCCTTTTCACCACATAGAGCGTTAAAAATGATTGTTTAATTAGTCGAAAATTTACGTGCGCTTTTTTATCTGCGAATTTTTAGGTGCTTTTTCGTGTGCTAAATGTTAATACATTCTTTCTTTCAAATCGAATTGAAAAACTATAATCATCACTAAATTCTGCATACATTTTGACATCCTTTTCACCACATAGAGCGTTAAAAATGATTGTTTAATTAGTCGAAAATTTACGTGCGCTTTTTTATCTGCGAATTTTTAGGTGCTTTTTCGTGTGCTAAATGTTAATACATTCTTTCTTTCAAATCGAATTGAAAAACTATAATCATCACTAAATTCTGCATACATTTTGACATCCTTTTCACCACATAGAGCGTTAAAAATGATTGTTTAATTAGTCGAAAATTTACGTGCGCTTTTTTATCTGCGAATTTTTAGGTGCTTTTTCGTGTGCTAAATGTTAATACATTCTTTCTTTCAAATCGAATTGAAAAACTATAATCATCACTAAATTCTGCATACATTTTGACATCCTTTTCACCACATAGAGCGTTAAAAATGATTGTTTAATTAGTCGAAAATTTACGTGCGCTTTTTTATCTGCGAATTTTTAGGTGCTTTTTCGTGTGCTAAATGTTAATACATTCTTTCTTTCAAATCGAATTGAAAAACTATAATCATCACTAAATTCTGCATACATTTTGACATCCTTTTCACCACATAGAGCGTTAAAAATGATTGTTTAATTAGTCGAAAATTTACGTGCGCTTTTTTATCTGCGAATTTTTAGGTGCTTTTTCGTGTGCTAAATGTTAATACATTCTTTCTTTCAAATCGAATTGAAAAACTATAATCATCACTAAATTCTGCATACATTTTGACATCCTTTTCACCACATAGAGCGTTAAAAATGATTGTTTAATTAGTCGAAAATTTACGTGCGCTTTTTTATCTGCGAATTTTTAGGTGCTTTTTCGTGTGCTAAATGTTAATACATTCTTTCTTTCAAATCGAATTGAAAAACTATAATCATCACTAAATTCTGCATACATTTTGACATCCTTTTCACCACATAGAGCGTTAAAAATGATTGTTTAATTAGTCGAAAATTTACGTGCGCTTTTTTATCTGCGAATTTTTAGGTGCTTTTTCGTGTGCTAAATGTTAATACATTCTTTCTTTCAAATCGAATTGAAAAACTATAATCATCACTAAATTCTGCATACATTTTGACATCCTTTTCACCACATAGAGCNTTATATTTGTAGTATTTTTATTAATATTTTGTAAATGTTAAAAACAGCGAGTTTTAGTTCAAAAGCTCTCCGTACTACGGTTGTCGATTGCGCCAGCAGTCTTTTAGTCCTGCCTCTGCCGATCGTGTCCTCACATACGTAACAAACTGGAAAATTCCGCAGTTGTTTACAATTATTGGTTATTAATGTGTGTCAGTGAAATTGTTTTCGAATAATCGCAATCATTGCAAGTTCGGACAGCGAAATACGTAGCGATATGAATATTTGCGTTTGCTATGGTTGCATAGATACAATATTTGTTGTTTTCAAGTTATAATGTGTTATCTATTCATGGATAAAACCAATGCAGTATTTTGTGTAATATGGAGCATTTCTAAGAACCACTTTCTGGTGAGTCATT